AGCAGGGTATTCGTTGGCTAGGAGTTAGTTAGTTTGCAGGGTGCTGCATGATCAATTAGAGGTTTAGCGTTTGGTGTATACGCAGCTGAGCAACTGGGGTACATCGGGGGTTCTCGTGGTTCGGCATGTTGGGAATGTTCCGACGCAGTTCCTAAACCCCACATAGATGAGTTCACACCCTAAACCCGAAACTACCCTGTACCCTAAACCCTCCATAAACACTAGAGGTCCCTTGTCTCCTACCTGTTCAGCCCCTGCCCTGTGAAGTCCTACTACAACCGCAAGCCCTAAACCCTAAACCCCAGACCCCAAACCCCAAACCCCTAAACCCAAAGCCCTAAACCCCAAACCCCAAACCCCAAACCCCAAACCCGAAACCCGAAACCCGAAACCCTAAACCCTAAGCCCTAAACCCCAAACCCCAAACCCTAAACCCTAAACCCTAACCCAAGCCCTGCAAGCTTCTAAAGCCCACAAAAGCCCCGAACAGAAGCCCTCCACAGGCCATGAAGTTCTTCGACCTGGTCCAAACCGGCCTGTTTGCGCGGTTTAGGTTTAGGGTTTAGTGTTTAGGGTTTTGGGTTTTGGGTTTTTGGGTTTAGGGTTCTTAGTGCTTAGTACGGAATGAGGGAATGAGGGCCGTATTATATATTCTTTAAAGGATTATTTAGGGCCCAATTCCCTCATTCCATACTAAGAACCAGCCAGGTGGAGAAGGGGTTGGGGAGGATGAGGGTGTAGGGGTTTAGGGCTTCGGCTTCGTTAAGAAAGGGGTGAAAGAATAAGACTGTAGCGGCACAGCTTTACAGCCGAACCCCACATTGAAATGCTGTTAGGGCGACTGTTGTTGAAACTCTTACGTATATATACACATCTGACTAATTAGAATGTCTCCCGCCCCGCCCCCGACACTGCCACCCCCCACCCGCCCCGACCCCAACCCCCCTAGCCCCCCTTCTGGGTTTCAAAGCAATAAAAACCCTACCACACGTGACGTGTAGACTACCGCCGGAGGCGGCCTTGGCCTCGAAAGGAGGCGGTGGCGCCTTCATGGAGGCGATTGGGTTTAGGGTTTGGGGTTTAGGGATTAGGGGTTTAGGGTTTAGGGGTTTGGGGTTTAGGGTTTAGGGTTTGGGGTTTGGGGATTGTGGTTTAGGGCTTGGGGGTTTGTAGGGTTTAGGGGTTTAGGGTTTAGGGTTTAGTGGTTTAGGGTTTAGGGTTTGGGGTTTGGGGTTTGGGGATTGGTTTAGGGTTTAGGGTTTAGGGGTTTGGGGTTTGGGGGTTTAGGGTTTAGGAGTTTAGGGTTTTGGGGTTTAGGGGTTTGGGGTTTAGGGTTTGGGGTTTAGGGTCTAGGGTTTGGGGTTTAGGGGTTTGGGGTTTAGGGTGTTTAGGGTTTCTGGGATTGAGGGTGTTTAGGGTTTCAGGGATTTAGGGTTAAGGGTTTAGGTTTTTGAGGGTTGTAGGGTTTCAGGGTTTGTTGAAGTTCTGAAGAGAGGCCCTGAGTTTAGGGTTTTAGGGTTTTGACGGTTTAGGGTTTTAGGGGTATAGGGGTTTAGGAGTACAGGGTTTTTAGGGTTTGGATTAGGGCTTGGGGGCTTTAGGGTTTGGGATTTCAGGCTTTAGGGTTTTCGGATGTTAGGGTTTAGTTTAGGGAAGTAGTTTTTTTGGATAACATAAACAAAGGACACCATGTTCCCTCATACTCTTTATATTCGCAACAAATCATGGTAACTTAATCTCTGATGCCCGGTAGTGCCCCTACCGTTTGAGTTGCTCAGGCAATCTGATAAACCACCAAATCCTAAGTCCTAAACCCTAAACCCCAAACCCCAAACCCCTAACTCCAAAACCCCAAACCCCAAACCGAACCTCAAATTTGTACAAACCCTCGAGACCACTCAGCTTCCTCCGGCTTGGAACCTACCAAGCTGGCCCATCTTTCGGGGTGCTTGTGTTAAAAGCCAGGGTTTAGGGTTTAGGGCCGACAAGCCCCACGATCAGAGGAGGGCTCCCCCGCAGCTGGTGCAGCACCAGCCAAGGCGCAGCGGGCGAAGCCTGAGGGTTTTTGGGTTTAGGTTTTAGGGTTTCTGAACCCTGAACCCTAAACCTTGTTCCTTAAACCCTAAACCCCTAAAATGCCTGCCCTAAACCCTCTTAAATTAAACCCCAAAACCCCCTAAAATGCCTGCCCTAAACCCTAAAACCTGAACCCTGAACAATTCTGCACTTTGGTTTCGGGATTGTTGCTTCGGTGTTAGGGCTTCGGGTACCGAGTTGTAAATTGTCAGGCGGTTTGCGGGGGGAGTTTAGGCTTAGGGCCTGGGGCTGGCAAGCTGTGTAAGCGTTTTGGTGTTCTAGTTTAGGGTTTAGGGTTTAGGGTTTAGGGTTTAGAAAGTTCGTAGGCGGGGCTCAAACCCCTATGTCCTGTGTATTGTCATCAGGAATGGGGTCTGCTACTTTAGCGCTTCTAGGTTTGGGGGACTCTGATGATCTTACTTGGCAGCCCAGTGATACCCTTTACCCCTTTTGTTGGTTCTGGGTTCCCTTGTAAAGTAACCAACCAGGACCACGAAGAAGGTGCGTTTATGGCCAGATGGTTACGGGGCTGCCAAGTGATGTACTTGACCCTAAACCCTAAATCCTAAACCCTAAACCCTAAACCTAAACCCTAAACCGCTCGCTGCAGGAGAAGAGAGCCAAGGCGAAAGCACGCGGCAAGAAGAAGGGTAAGCCCACGTGACGCCACGCTTGGGAGGCGCGAATGACTCCAAAAGGGGGGCTGTTCTGCATTCTGGGCCGTTTTTGTTTCCCTAAACCCTAAACCTTCTCAACCCTCAACCCTAAACTGTCTGCAACGGACCCCCACAAGGGATGGCCCAAAACCCCACGTTTGACATGACTTACGGGTGCTGAGAGGGGAATTCGGTACGCAATTGCCCCCTGAAGAAACTATGTACCCTTTCTTTAGTATTTAAGGATGCACACTACCGCAACCGCATAGAACCCCGATGCCCACGTACCTACAGAGACGCCCTGACGGCCGGCTGACAATAATCGTTTCGGCCCATACCCTATACCCTAAGCCCTAAGTGTTTACTAAATCAAAGTGGGAAGCCAATTTTTGGTTGAAGGCTTCGGAGACAGAAGGGTTGGGATGCAATGTGCTCGGAATGCTCGACTTTCTGGTATTACGAGGTGTTTCGCGAAGGCCAGGACCATGTAGACTCGTAGGCTATCCATGAAACCAAGAAGCAAGGGAAGTTTTCACCCCAATCCCTATACCTTGGTAGCCCAGTGGTATCAGTGGTACCCTTTTCTTTTCAGTTCAAGCTTCCCTTTTTCAGCAACCAACCCCAGAAAAGAGTGCCGTTATTCGAAGATAGTTAGTTACTGGGCTTTCAAGATACAGCCTGAAGACAGTTCTGCTTTCCGTGTGGCGAGACACTGGGAGGTGTTCAAAGTCAAGTCTTCCCCGGCCTGCGCTGAGCGACAAGCACTCTGGGGTTGTACAAAGTTTGATAGGGTTTATGGTTCAGGGTTTAGGGTTTAGAGTGGCAAGCACGCCTCCGTTACGCATCCGAACGATTCAGTCTTGCCTTGCCGACGTGTGTGATTCACCTCTGTCGTGCATGCGATAAGATGCGTTGATTCGAGATAGACAAGCTTCCCTCTCGGCCACTCTGTGCGATTTCCGACGCCATGCTTCTTCGAATCCTTTTTCTTCTTCTGTTGCTGGCGATATATGCTGCCTCGCCATTGCTAGAAAAAAGAAAGAAACTAGACCGAGACCACCCCATTTGATGTCTGTACATGGGATTTTGTGGGTGCGAAAGAATCCGAAGCGCGAATCCGCACAGCAAGACCCTCCATAGCAAGCAGAAAACGGAGGCATTGGACCAGCGCTGGTTCAACTTCGAGACTGTTTTCAGCGAAGCTGTCGAGAAACAAAGCGCCTTAATCCCCAAACCCTAAACCCTTTACCCTAAACCCTAAACCCTAAAAACCCTAAAACCCTAAAGCCCTAAAGCCCTAAAGCCTAAACCCTGCCCCGAATGTCCTGAGGCAGTTGTGAACGTAGGGCCCGTTTAGGGTTAATAGCGGCCCATCCTCCTCACATAATAGGGTTTAGGGTTTAGGGTTTAGGGTTCAGGGTTTAGGGTTTAGGGTGTAATTGGTATACTGTCCGTATGTCGCTTGTTCGGGTTCGGATCGCTCATCAACCACTTAGTTGAGGCCACCCTTTTCAACAAATCTTTGGGCAACCTAGTTTAACAGGCAAGATAACCCACTGCTCCAAGAAGAGATCATCTTGAGCAAAAGGTCTACGTAAGTCCCTGGCCAATCACACCTGATGAGGGGTACTGGGGTTTGGGGCTTTAGGTTGAAGCGCTAATAGCAGGGTTCCATTGCATGGACCCTAACTCCTACTCAAGTTGCCATTGAACTTTGCAATTGCACCAGAGTCAGGGTTTACACAGGAAAGTTCTCAATTGCAGCCCGTCCGGCAGGCTTCCCTGTCTTCTGTTCGGTCGTAGGGTAGGCGAAGGTTATTAGGATTCGGGTCCGTGTGAGAATGGCGGAGAGAGCGTGTGAATACAGGTGAGCTTGCTTTAGCATACCTGTCAGACAGTGCCTTTCCCCATCTTCCAGCCGTCCAGTCACCTTCACCAACCACATCACGCCACTTTGAGATTCATCTCCAAGATCGCAGCCATTGTAGCCAGATACTGTGCCCTGGCATGGGGCCACCCTAATGTAACCCCGATATCTACATCCTTATATAGTCCCTGTATACATACATAAGTGGCCCCAAAATAGCTCCAGTCCCTTACATAATAGGTTGAACCTGATGGCTTCAAGAAACTCGTCAAGCCTGAGGCTGCTGATATATGTCCCCATGCCTCCACATCCCAAGACAGTCGTTACTGCTGGTTCGCTCGAGGTCATCCCAACCCCGGCCCCGAATCTTAAATCGTTGATAAACGGCTGGGTTTGAGCTTATGGGGGGCTGTGCTGCAGGCTTCGCACAGGATCAGACATGCTTTGGCTGCTTTCGTGCTTACATCTGGCAGACACAGAAGCTGTCAGCCGCGACCGATGCTGCCACCAGTCATAAGGCCGCCCCAGATGAATGTAGGTTTAGTAAGGTCTGCTGGCATTCAGGGGTTCAATTGGTGCATATTCAGAATGCTTCTTCTCATTCTGATTTTTCCTTTGTCTGTGCCAGAACCCAGCTCTAACACCCACTTCACATTGCGACATGTTTTGCGGGAGGCAACTGTGTCCCAGTACCACGATCGTGAAGCCCTGATCCAGTATCTGCGTGAAGCGGATGTCAAGCTGGTGATACTGGGTTTCAGAGCACATGCTTGTCTACCGCTTTTGGCGTTCGCAGCACAGGGTATAGATAGGAGTCTTTTTTGCTATTTTTTGTCGATTTATGCGAAGAAGGAAAGGGCATTGGCTGGTGCGTCTGGCCCAGAGGGGCGGCTCTATGCCGAGGCGTCAGGAAGCGCCCGATGATGCTTTCGTGAGTGAGGAAATGCTTAACTCTTGGATCACTGGTCCTCATGTGCTGCATGCTCGAATCATAGCTGTCTCACATGTGTGGGAAGCTCGAGAGCATCCAGATCCCTGGTCGTTCCAGCTAGAGAAGCTGCGCGAAGCCTGCACCAGCAACCTCCAGACCACCTACTGGTTGTTCTACGATTTCATGAGCCTGCACCAGTACAAGCGCAAAAAAAAGCAACAGGTCAGATTCCAAAAGGCGATGGAGAAGATGTTCCTCGTCTATGCTCACGAGCATACGTCTACATGGCGACTGGAGCAGCTGACTCCAGACGAGTGGCGGCAGCAGCGTGAACGTGAAGCAGGTGTCAAACTTCAGATCTACTACGAGCCCAGCTCGCGAGTGGAAGCGCGGAGCCTGCGAGACCTGAGTATGAATCGAACCGAATATGCTCACCGTGGATGGTGTACGGCAGAGAAGCTTTGGTCAAATACCAGAGAGGAGCAGGGCGCCCTGGATTTTGCTGAGTTGTTGAGGTGTTTGGGGAGTCGACCTAGCGGCCACTAGCAGCACCCGAACTCCTACGTGTGCAACACACTTGGATACCCTAAACCCTAAACCCTAAACCCTAAACCCTAAACCCTAAACCCTAAACCCTAAACCCTAAACCCTAAACCCTAAACCCTAAACCCTAAACCCTAGGCAGATCCACAGCCATCGGCTTGGATGACAGTGACGATGAGGAAGGTTTGGCACCCATGCCGCCGGAGTGTTTTCAGGAGGAAGTTCGTCGAGGATGCCTTAAGTTCACCCACAGGACTCCGCGAGAAGAGCATATTTTTGCATTGTCCCAAAGGCTCCATGTCCCTATATAGTATATACTTGGGCCTTAGAGGGGTTCCCGATTTAGTAGCTTTACAGCCCAAGTATATAGTATATGGGTACATGGACCCTTAGGGTGTCTTGGCTCAGATTGCTTTGTTGGGCAAGCATAGTTCTAGCAGTACTTTAAGGTTTAATGTAGCAACTCGGGGAGTTCAATTGTCAACCCCCCTCAACTTAGGGAACAAAGAGGAGAAAAGCAATCACGGGGGTTCCTAAGGGTTTCAGGATTCCCTTTCTGGAAGAGGCCAGCCCTTTTAAAAAGCAGGCCCTCCCCCAAACAAGACTACAACCCCTTCAAACCCAAACCTTCTGCAATTAGATGTTTCGGCCCTGCCAGAGAGATTGAACGAATCAAGGGGGTGGTTATTCATGTGAAATAAAATTAAACTGTTTTCCAAGGAAACTGGACCAGTAGAAGTAAAGTTGTTCCCGGATTGTTCTTTGCGGCGTGAGCGCTGTGTCGATGTACTTCTTCGCATGTTGCTGTCTTTGATCTTTGGTCAATCCCCCCTCCCCCCTCCCCCGCCCCCCCCCTCTCCCGCAAGAAAACAAGGAGCCTAGGAAAACCCGACGGTTCTTTCCGCTTTGGAGGAATGACGAAACGGAAGTGGCGGCGATCCAGAAGCAAGTCTTTGAAGACAAGGCTGCGACTTGCACAGAGCTCCGTTTGTCCAAGCTGAACAGGAAGCTCGGGTATTCCGTCGACTTTCCGGTTGTGCTGATATCAACACAGCAATCGTCTATGCATGACAGATTGGACACAAGACGCTTTTTTTTTTGCATTCCCAAAGGATCCATGGACCTAAAGCTACTATATAGGAACCCCTTTAAGGCCCAAGTATATACTATATAGGTACAATGATCCTTTGGGATTGTTCCCTCATCTCAGGAAGCAGGTGGAAGTGCTGGTCCGGGCTCTGTCGCATTACCAGCGCTTGCGGCAGCTGCACCTGTCCAAGACTGCGCTGGACACGGAAAGCTGCGAGGCCACTCTTTAACCCAGAATTCTGTCAGCCCAAGAAGGTTTGAGACAGGTGTAGGGTATAGGGTTTAGGGTTTAGGGTAAACTTCTCATAAGATCCTTTCCCAAAGCCTTGGCGTGGCCAGGCCATCAGCCAAGCGTTCCAAACTTGGAGGCCAATTCCCCTGGAAGTCAGCTTCAAGAACTGCAGAAACGTCGACACGTTGGCACAGGCCTCCTTGAAGCGTGTCAGTCAGCTGGGTTTAGGACCAGGGCATGGGATTCCCCCTTACATCTAACCAGGCTCTGGGCCCTTAAGCCCTAAACTGCTTCGACAAATCGAGCCCGTCCTCCAGGTTCTGGCCTCTGGGTGGGAGAATTCGTCATCTGCCATGCGGTTGCAACAGCTGACCTTCGATACAATCTCTCTCGAGGCTGCCAAGGCCTGCGAATCCCGACGATGAGGGGTGTAGGATTAGTGTCTAGCATGGTTCTTCCCTCTGAGCGAAGTTTCAGAACTTCTACACCCCTGCCAAGATCAGGCACCTGAATGACAGCCTGTCGTCTCTATGCATCGAACGGACTTCAATCGACCGACCCGACCTGAGGCTGACACCAATGTCGCCAGCGGGGTTCCCTAAACCCTAAACCCTAAACCCTAAACCCTAAACCCTAAACCCTAAACCCTAAACCCTAAACCCTAAACCCTAAACCCTAAACCCTGAACCCTCTAATCCCGTGCAGGCTTTGCTGAAGGCATCCCGGGGCAATACCGCCGCTGGCAAGCTTCAGCTGGGCAGAGTTCGGCTTGGCTTGCAGGCTGGCGTGGTTTGGGGTTTCGGGGCTTAGGATTTAGGGGTTCAGGGTTTAGGGTTTGTGGTTTAGGATTGTCGGGTTGTTTAGGTGTTAGGGTTTTAGGGCTAAGGGCTTTTGGGAGTTCGGCGTTTCAAGGTTTAGAGTTTTGGGTGTGGGTGTCATCAAAGTATCATTTACAAACCTCTGGTGCTTGTGCCTCTCTACACCCTAAACCCTAAACCCTAAACCCTAAACCCTAAACCCTAAACCCTAAACCCTAAACCCTAAACCCTAAACCCTAAACCCTAAACCCTAAACCCTAAACCCTAAACCCTAAACCCTAAACCCTAAACCCCAAACCCTAAACCCTAAACCCTAAACCCTAAACCCTACCCCCCCAAACCCTAAACACGAATGATTTCTAGAAGCTGTGCTCTGGCAGCCCTGTCACCATAAATCTGCAACGCGGGGGCTTTCTCAATCACCAAGCCCCTTGACCACAAAAAACAGACATCTCGCTGTGTTTTGTTCCACCGGTAAGGCTCCAAACTGAAACCCTTAATGCTGAACTTGCAGAGTTTTCTGGCCTGCTCGGTTTGTGGTTCCTCTAAGCCCTAATCCCCGAAACAAGCCAGGACTGGATGTGGCTCCCAAGGCAGGCAAATCTGCAGTTTCGAGACCAGTGCCTCGAGGGCGAGGAGAAACAGGCGGGGCTTCAGAGCTTGCGAAAGTTTTGAGGTCCCCATTTTTTGCTGTTGCAGGCAATGGTTATGTGTGCTTGAGGCACTGAGGAAGGTTTGTAGTATATAGAAAGCGAGGATAGTTTGCTCGAGATGTGAATGCTTGAGATCCTTTGAAGTTGCTCGTCAACCCACCCTGGCCCACCCAGTTTGGGCTATTAGATTGGGGCTTGCAAGGTTCAAGCCAGTTTGGCACTCACAAAAGGCTTGAATTCGGCGGCCTTCGGCTAGGCTGAACTGGGGCCTTAGCGGGCTTAATTTGAGAGGGGAGGTGGAGGTTCTGAGAGGCTTTTGGAACCATAGAAACATATGTAAGCGGATGGGTCCCCAACTCCCTAAACCCTTGTTGCCCTAAGCCATCCTAAGCCCTACACTGCCCGGCTCCTCCGGAGCTTTGCACTTAGGAGTTGGCCAAGTGCCTCTTCGCAGAGTTCGGCGCGTGCGTGGAAGCTGTCTGCTCTGCGCAACAATGGCGAGTGAACTCGACGGCCTTGGAGTTCGAGTTGGAGTGCTCCGCGCAGGCCGCGGGAGAGCAGAGTGAGCGGGGGGGGGGGGGGGTGGCATTTGAGGTGGAATGACGGTACTTTTTTTTTGTTTGTGCGAAGATGTGGGTTTCCTTGTTAACCAGGTCCCTTGCAGCCCTGGCAAGTAGAACCCGAAACATGCTGCTTCCTCCGCTGACGAAGTTCTGCATCGCGCTCACCGGCACAGATCCGAAACTTTCATCCGATTCTGCCAATCCATGCCAGTCATAACATTAAGCTTTCTCCGCGCATCTTACTTACAAAGGTGTTCAGGTTGATTGGTTCGGGTTCGTGGATCATAATAAGTCATATCGCATGAGAATTCAGGGCCGCAGGTGCCACGTTTGTGCAGGACCTGTCGGCTCTCTTGGAGAACCGCCCGGACATCAAGAGCATCCTCTGGAAATACACATCTCCACCACTGTTTCGAACTGCCGCCGAGACTCGGAACTGAAAGCCCAAGAGTATCCAAACATATCCCACCAAGTGCCAGGGAGGTTCCGGCTAGAGGCATAGCAGGTCTTCGCCCTCGCCCCAGACCACCCTAAACCGGCTTTAGGTTACTGTAGGTTGTCGGCGTTTTTCTTCTACTGGCAAGAAGCCCTAAAGCCCCTCCTCGCTGAAACTCGAGCTATAGAACTATAGGCCTGCAAGACCCAAGTCTAGCGGCTGTAGCCTTTTCGGTACCTCTAGATCGCTAGTTTCGAGGCATTACAAACATGGACCTGAACCAGGTTCCCCTACTATTTTCAGTCTGTATTCGAGAAGGTATGATTAACCTGTTGTTTGTCGGGTTTTGGGGTAACAGGTAAATCCTGAACCGTCAAGGCAGCTCTGGCCGCGCGGGCTGCGTGTGCGGTTGAAGTCGAACTGACGACGCATGTGTTGGTGTCTCAGGAGGCTCTGAGATGTTTGGATTGAAAAACAGGTTTCGAGGTTTTGGTGGCCATGGATTAGGTTGAGGGCGGCCGACCAGGTCTGTTTAGTCTCAAGGCCAGGGAAGGGTGAAGTTTGACTGATGCTGGGTCCATGCGCAAGAAGAGGAGGTAACCTCCAGAAGGAGCCTCTACATGTCAGAACACGCCTTCGCACATTTGCGCTGCCGTCGGGCAAGGCGCATTGTGCGGACAACGACACGTTCAAGCGTTGATAGAAATTGCAATGACCTACATACGAAGTCTTGAATTCATGGGTTTCCCTACTAAGGTTCCCCCCCTTAAATAGCCTTAATTAGGCTGAAGTATCCCTAAATGGCATTAATTATGGGGGAGCCTAGTGGGGGGTAGGAAAGAGGGGGGCTGCAGGGGAACCCATGATGAATGCCAACCTAAATCCTGAACTCTGTCGGCCCTAGACTCCAAGTTCCGAACCGAGCTCAATCCTAACTCATAACCGCAGACCTTAATTCCTAAGCACTAGACAGTGCACAGTCCTGTATAAGCAACCTTTACCCTTTGCGAACATTTTTCTTACACTACGTATATCACTCTACTCTTTGTGGGAATATGCGCAAGCAGGTAGACCCCTGAAACCTAAACCCTACTTGAGCCTTACATCCCAACCCCCAATTGTCAGTGAGCTCAGACTGAGACTGACAGGATCTTGCCAGTGTGGTGGAGCGCTTCGGGGTGCAAGAGATCGAAGTAGACCGGATGACAATCAAGGGGGAGTTGGAGCAGGTGGCGGTGTGGGCTTTCAACTTAACCAGGACTCCAACATACCGGGGCTTAATGCAAAAGTTAGCTGCTTGTTTACTTGTGTCGAGGGCTTCTGGGCTTAAGTTGTGCGCAGCTTGAAGAGGCTTGTGCCTGGAGCTTTGACCCAGGTTTTCATGAACATATGCATAGATGTTGCATGATTCGGATCCCACTGTATTTCCAGGGCTTCAAGAACGTTAGAGTAAACCCGAAACCACAACCCTTGAACTGCTAGCCTTCTCTTTGCTGTCTTGGGGATAGGAAATGTGGGCAGGTGTTTTTGGTTCTTTGTGTTGTGGCCTTGGTTGGGAGTTGTCCCCAGTGGCTGTCTGAGAGTCCAGCAATGACAGCGCGCTGCTTGGCCAGCTGTGAAAAGCGAAACGCACACCGGTTGCTCGCTGTGGAGTACGGCATTGATCAAATTAGGAAATAGTTCAAGACCCCGAAACTCCAATTCCAAGTTCAAGGAATTCCAGCATCTTAAAGGATATGGGGAAAACCCTCTGCAACTTTAGACCGAGCCCCGTGCGCAGGCGCTTTCAGAAGCGCTGGGCAAGACTCAGGTGGTGTTCGTGTTCAATGGCACCGGAGATCAGCTTGCCCTCCAGGTGCATGGGAGTTGGCTTTCGGGCTGAGGGCGCCGTTTGAATCCTACCTGGACTTTCCCGGGGACCAAAATGTTAGTCGTTGTCTGGAAGATCATGAAGTTCAGTCGTTTCTCAGGAAAATAGTTCTTCGAAAAAAAGTAGTCCTCTCGCTATGTTTGGACAACACGTGGCAAAACAGTGGTCGGGAAAAAGTGCGTTTTTGCTGCGAAAAGAGCGCGTTTCGGTCGGCAAAGAGCGCCGTCACCAAACATGAGCCCCTGTTTTTTCTGCAGTAATCTCTAAAAACGCTCGAGAGCATAATTGTTACTGTTTCTTCAAAAAAACTGAAATTTTGTAGGAAGGTCAAGGTATCCCTTGAATCTAGGCAGCCTGGGGGGCCCCACGCCTTCGCACTTCTTATTTTTTGTGCGACCTGTTCATTTAGGCCTGAAGGCAAGTAGAGTTGTCCTTAGCCCCGAACAAGTGCCACGGCTTCAGGGCTCCCTACACCAAGAACCCCACATCCCAAACTTGAAAACCCTACCCAGGTAAGACTTAAAGATTCTGGCTTTAGGGACCCTGGACTGGAAAGACTTTACCGCCAAAGAGGTGACGGGCATCACCTCCCTGCGTCGGATCAGCCTCCCAAGAAACAAGATCAGCAACGTTGGGGCCAAGGCCAGGGCAGACAGCCCAGGGAATCGTTCAGGGTTGTAGGGTCTGGAGCTTTTAGGGTAGTAAGTTTCACCGAGGAGGGTTGGCAGTTCTTGGGATATCCGGGTTAAATTGCCCCCTGATTTTCCCCGACTCTCCCCGACTCTCCCCGCCTCCGGTTCTCCCCCGACTCTCCCCGACTCTTGTACGACCCCCTGCCGCCCAGAAATCCCCAAACACGCGTTCTGTGATTGGTTTTCGCGCAGGACAGACCTCGTACGATCATACAGCCGAATTTGGCTCAAGGAAAGCAAGTGCGATTGCTGTGCTTGTGTTAACTTCCTTGCTAGAACACCTGTTTGTCTTGTGTTCTTCTATGCATGGCTTAATGGTTTAGGGTATGGCTTGCAGGTACTCATCGGAACTTCCCCCTCAGCCCCAAACCCCCGAAACCTTACAGTCCCCGCAGGCGATTGCACGGAATATTTCTTCGTGCTGTCGACTGCGGTTCCTGCACCTCGACGGAAACGCTATCGAGGACGACGGAGCCAAGGCTTGCCTTGTCTGTGGTGTTGGGCACAGGGTTTAGGGTTTAAGGTTTAGGGTTTAATCAGGGTTGGGTCTAGCTTCCAAAATGCTGGCCACCGCAAATATCCTACAACCTAAACCCTGTAGGGCTTGACAGTATTTATCGAGGGGAACGCCAACATCGCCAATAACTAAGTCATGGAGCTGCTGTCCTGCATTATCGAGAGGGTGATGGAGTAAGTGCTATTAAGGGGGCAATAAAGGACGAATAGAAAGGTCCCCCCCCCCCGCCACTTCGTTCTCTTGTTCGTCCAATTAATGCGTTCATATATTCACTTATTAATTGTTCTCACTGCGTTCTCTTCGTATAATATTATATGGACGAAGTGAATAATATTATTGCGTTTGCAAATAGAATGCACGAAACGTAGTATTAAGAGCGAAGTAAAAAGCCCAAAATTAGAATGCACAATCGTGCATTCTTTACATGTTGATAATAATTTGTATGGTCTTTTTGTATTCTATCAGTATAATTCTCTCCCCTCGGCCCGCCATGAATACAATTTATATTCTCTTCGTTCTTTCTCCATTTCGTTCACTTTTTTCTTCGTTCTCTCATTCGTTCAATCTCTTCGTAGTCGTATTAATATAGTAAAATAAAATTGTAAATCAGTGAAGCGATTGCACGAACTTATATGGAATGAACGAAGCGAAGCCCCCCATATTTTTTATACTCCTGCCTAGCTTTGGCATTCCCTTTTCACCCTGCCTCTTTGTTTTTTTGTTTTGTGTCTGTGTGCGTGCGTGTGGGGGTATTGTAATGGGTAGTAGGATATACTACCAACCAAAGTGTGGCTCCCCAAGGGTTTGTAGCTTGGCCAGAAGGCCATTGCGGCAGCCATGCGCGCCCCGCTCGAGCATCTCAGCTTGGAAGACAATCAGATCGGCAGCGGTGGCGCGCAGGCTCGCGATTTAGGGTTCGGATTGTTTGGGTTTGGGGTTCAGGGTCTGGACAAGGCCTCGCAGACGCACACAGAGAACCCATGGCGGCAGACAACCGACAACCGCAGCCCACAGCCCAGAATGAATTGGCAGTGCACCTAATTCAATCCAAATCGTTCGAAAACCCTAATCCTGGACACGGAAGGTTGCTTGCAGGAGGATAGCCCTGCACCGACAGCACCGCTGGAAGTACCAAATGGTAGGTTCTCTAACTAGATTGCGCGCAGTTTGCCATCACCTGAAGCCAAGGAGCCCTAAAGCTTCAAGAGGTTTCAGTCTTTCTGGCGACTCGGCATCTGAATCCTAAAACCCTAGAGGCCTTTCTGGGGTGCAGAATCTTTAGGAACTCCAGAGGCGTCCCAACCTTAAACCCGCCCTCCACCGAAGAAAAGCGAGCGGATTAGGGCTTAGGGTTTCTGAGCATCTTGGAACCCTAGCCCTGCTGGGGATATTTATGTTTGGAGTTTTAGCCCAGGCCGAAGTTAGCCATAGACCCCTTATAAACCCTCAACCCCAAAACACGAACATCAACGGTATTGCACTGCCGACTTGGCAGCGTTAGCAGCTCACGAGTCCCAGGCCACAGCAACACATAATTCTCCGGATCCAGAACTTCCCGAGACTTAATTGGTTAGGGTTCATGGCCTAGGGTTTTGGGGTTGAGGGCTTCCGGCGCTGTACGCAGGCCCTGGTGGGCGCCCTCGTGCGGTCACGCGTGAAGCGTGCGCGTGTCCTGGATGGTAACAGGATCGAAGCTCAGACCGCCAAGGTCGGAAGGGCTTAACCTTCACCCTCAATCCTGAACCCCTAATCCTTAGACCTTGGGGTTTATAGGGTTTAGGGTTGTGAAGGGTTGTGCTTTGTTTTTTCTATGGTGCTGGGTATCTGGTCTATAGCTATGGGCTGGCAGGAGCTCTTTCTGTGTGCATAATGGAACATTGTGCAGTTCAGATTCCGTAGATGTGGTACTCTCAGTTCTTGCACACCCTCCACGGATTTGTTGTTCAATTCTTAGCGGCTTATACGCAGTAGTACGTGCCCTAAAGCAAGGTGTTCTGTTTAATAATATCCCTGACTGCAGGAGTTAGCAGTGGCTTTGGAAAAGCTGAGTCTCCCGCATGAGGAGACGGGGGAGAAGTGAGCAGCGTTTGTTTTTTCTCTCTTGTGTATAGCCCTGTATAGATCTAACATGACCTTCTCTCTGCGTAGCCGATGTCTATGCGCGTAGGCATCGATGTGCGGCAGGGGCCAGCGTAAATCCGCATAGCTTGGGTCACGAAGAACATGTAATCCAAATGAGATTGTATAAAACGCTCCGCCTTCGATTTATGAAAGGAATTGCCCGAAGAGTTTGGGACAGTGCTTCTGACTCGTAAAACGACAAGGAGAAACAACGATAACTTTACAATCGCTCTCGGAATTTTTCGTTTCAGTGCTGACCTTGTACTACACAGCAATGAATTTACCGCCCACGAAAAATTAAAGGCGCCTGTACTACAAACCAATGAAAGTTCAGCCGGCTCGCGGGAACCTCGATTCCAGTACTAAGCTTGTACTACAAATCAATGAGAAGCCAGCCGACTCACGGGAACGTCGATTCCACGATATTAATCATCTTGCTGCTTGTACTACGAATGAATGAAAACCCAGCCGGCTCACAGAAACGTTCATTCCTGTTCTGAGTTATGAAGTTGTGAGCTGTTCCACCAAACCCCCGGAGAAAAGGCAGAGGGAAAAACAAGAACAAAAACACACCCACACACACACACACACAATAAAAAGAAGAAGCGATAACCCTAGAACCGATTAACATATTTAACACGGTTTTTGCAACCCCACATTGCCTAGAGCCTAGAAAACCCTGAGCCCTAACGCGCTTGTCTGAGCTGGCGCGGGCTCCGATCGGGAGATAAGTCGGAGAGTCCAAACGGGTTAGGCCGCTTTTGAAGTCCTACGAAACAACGTTTGTGCATGGAAGGCCTTTTCCATGCAACTTCAAACGACAGATGCCCTAAAACCTAAGCTTTTAGCCCTAAACTCCCTCCTTGCCTTAGCTCGGGTTCGAAGATTCTCCCAGCACCCACAGTAGTAGATCAGGCAGGTTTTTGTAAACCCTCATTTTCTGCGTAGCCTCGCGTAGGTTGAAACCACAAAAAGCAAGCCGCGGAAGCCATTCCACAAGGTGTGGGGAGGTCCAAACAATGTTTACAATCTGAACCTTATATGGGTATTTCCCAGAATAGGCGTACCCCTTTTATACCCCACATCTCGAATGGAATCCCCTGAAAGGGACCCCCAAAAAGGGTACCCCCTATTTTCGGAACCCCACCAGATACAAAGTGAATGCTCAAGTGGCTTTGCCTGGCCTCCCTGAATCCCGACACACACCCTACACCTCGTTGCAGGATACTGCAGGCATTGGGGGACTCCCAAGCGCTTTCGAGGCCCTCTTGCAAGCTGCACATGCGAGAAGTCTGGCACCACTGCAGGCCATGTTGGGCGTTGAGAGCTTGAGGTTCAGAGTTTATTTGGACTCTGATGTCGTTCCATCTGTGTACCAACTTTTGGTCCCCCCCACCCACCCGATAAAAAAAAACAAAGGAGCCGCTATTGCGGGCACAGTTAAGGTATGGGTTTTTGAAGTTGAAGGATTGTTTTTGTTTGACAGCTTAGGTTGAGAGTTTGGGGTCCAGGGTTAGAGCGGGCCGCCTACTCCTGACCAGGGTCCGGGAGAGAGCCGACCGGGAGGCTCTCAAATCCATTTCCAGGCGGGCGGGCGTTTGTTGGCGGAGGGTTTTGGCTTCAAAGAGTCCGGCCCAGGGTTGAGGGTTTATTGTGGGAACCGGCAGAATGAGATATGGTTTGCTGGACCTCCCCATATAGCTCAGGTTCGGGATGCACCCAATGTCCCAACTCATCCCTAGCTTCGGGATCACGCAGTTCAGGACTCTTGGACGCTTTAGGTTACTCTCGCGTCTTACTATTGCTTTATTCTCCTTACCTGCGCCTGGGAAGCATATGTTGAGGTCTCCTGCGCACTTTGCATTGTTGTCATGAACTTTGCATTGTTGTCATGAGACTGCCGTGCAGCAGTAGCATGCAAGTAGGAAAGAACCCTAATACCCCATCAATATGATTCAGGTCTTGTTTGGAGTACCCCTGCACCCTAAACCCTCACTACCATCATTACCATCAATACCCGAACTATCCCAAGTTCTCAAAATTCCCAAGTCTTAAACCACTAACCCCTGGACCATCCTCTTGAACTTTCATGTGGCCAGGTCCGGCTTGCAAGTGGCAGGGGCGCAGACATGACGTGCTTGTCCACACAACCGTTGAGGCAGCTCAGGGTTCGGGGCTTAAGCCTTAGGTTTCAGGGTTTGGGCCTGTTTAGGGTGAAAGAGCTTGAGGGCTCAGGTTTAGGCTGCGTATAATACATATATATATATATGTATATATTTGTTTTTTCATTTATACATATATAGAGAGAGAGAGAGAGAGAGAGAGAGTGAGTTTGTTTCGCCCAAGGTTTCGAAAGGAGTTTCTTGGTGCTGAGAGCCTCCTAGTCCTAGACCCTTGAGTTAAAGTCATAGATTAGATTTCTGGGTGCACTGAAGCTCTGACACCGAGATTCTGTCGGAACATGAGTCTAGGGGTGATTACGTTGGAGATGTGTTGGGGAGTATCACTGGCATATTGCCTGATTGAGAAGCAGGACGCTCTACGGACAAATCGCCGATGCTTTGGGACTGGTGTCCGAGAAGTTGCACCTGGTAAGTGAATCGACTGCCGTTCTGCCAGACACTACGCTTGCCGCCGACCTGGCGGAGCAGTGCTTTCTGGTAGTGGTGGTGTCAGACTGGTGCTCTGGTCAATGTTTCAAGTCCAAAGATGGTTCTAAAACCTTGGAGCTGCATGCAGATGGAACATTCACCTTCGTGATGCACACGCGCCAGCGCCGCCACAACAGCAACATTTACGCCAGAGCGCGGTGGACTCCGAAGGGGGCGTCAGTACGTCCTGTACTATACTTTCTCTCGGAGCGCCATGAGGCAGCAAGTGGCATTTGGGAGGTGGAGAAGGACACTGGGGCGGTGAAGCTTGTTGGCGAGAATCAGAAGCGCCACAAAACGTGGACTAATGTAGAGGTAGAGCCGGATGACTGGCAAGTGTCCATACAGCAGTTTGAGTGCACCTGGCAAAGAGAACAGCTGGAGCAGTTTTTGGATAAGGGCTCCGACGATAGCGCTCTTGGATGAAGACGAGAAGCCATTTCTTGAGGGTTGGGCTTCAACTAGGGCAAACGACCAGGAGATGAGTTCGCTGTCAGTTCAACAAACGGACTGAGCGCTTCTCGTTTCCAGCGGGCGCAGAGGCAAAGCCCTCACCCCAAAGCCTAAGCCCTCTGCAGTGGCAGTGCCAGAGTGAACTCTGCCACAGCCGCTTCAGTCACATGGCTTGTGGAGTGGTGCCCAAGGCTTAGCTCTTGCCTAATTCATAGGGAGCGTGACGGGCCTTTGTTCGTCTGAAGTCCCTGCTTAACGCCTCTATACACGCTGTGCTTTGGGTATGCAATTGTCTCGGTGGTAACCTTGTTTAGGGTTAGGTTCCTTTATCACCCAATTAACAGAAGCCTGCCATTTTTCTTCCGAGGTTGTTGAGCGGACAGTTGATGCTTCTGGTTGCAAATAAGTTCTCACAACTTGAGCAGTACACCAACCTTGTTCCCTAGCACGTATTCGGTGAGTTTGAATGTCCCATATGCTCAAACATTTGTCAGAGACCGGCCCAGCAAGAGCCTGGGCGCACGGCTTCTGCTCGTCTTGTCCCACGCGAAGACTTAACAGTATTCAACGCAAACACTCTAGGCCCCAAATTCAGTCAGCATTTGCTATCTCCATGCCCCCAATCTCAAGCGCAGAACCAGAAGTCGATTTTGCATTGCCACCAGCAGCAGGTCAACGCCACTGTGATGGTTTGGGGTGTCGGGCTTTGCGGTTAAGCGGTTGGCAAGTGATTTGTCCATCAGCAAAAGAAGACATTCGTTCGAGCCCATGGAGACATAGGGCCCATTCCGAGCTTGTGTGTTTTCGAATGTTTGGGTGCGGGTTTGAGGGATTTGCTTCACTGTATTTCGCGTGTGGACGCAGACGGAGCTCTGCGGATGTTGACGAGCAGTCGTCTTCTAAGTGGTTGGGCTGATGTTGATGCCGAGCTCATTGCGACAGCACTTGGTGGGCTTAGCAAAGATCGAAGGCCGGCGTTTATCCTGTGCCAAAAGATCGATAACTTGGCTCTGTCAGAACTACGGCCGCAGTCCTAATCCCAAAGATGCAAAGCCAAAAGCGTATACGTCGTCCCAAAGAAAGGCTGTTAAGTGCTATACTTTCTTTACGTTTGGTTTTTCCCGGTTCCGATTACACTTCAAAATCACAAAAGGTGTGAGCACCGGACAAAAATATGCGTAAACCCACTCTTTCTTGATGCTGCATGTCTGGTACTTTTCCTCGAAAGCGATAGCGGCCCACCGTACAGGGCAACTGTCGGGCTCTTTATGGTTGTATCTGTCGGGGTGCTAGCGCTCGAGAGTCGACAGGGACAACCGAATTTCGTCAGCCGCTTTAAGGTCTTTTCCCGTGGGTGACTCAGCAACCTAAAGGATCCTTCAAGTCACGGCACCGAACACTGAAGAACCGATGCCCACGCCTGGGCGCTGAGGCCCTAAACCCTGCAGACTTAAAGTCCTTGAACCATAAACCCCGAAACCCTCGAACACGAAACCCAAAATCCAAAAACTACTGTTGTTAGGGTCATAGCCTCTGCTTCTGGAGGTCACATAATACCCAAAGCCGTGTGTAATACATGGCTCTTGTATGAGCCATGTTTGGGATAGGGGAACTTGCAAGTCCACCTATCCCCAGCACTTAGGGTTAGACTGTGGGGCTCAGTGAAAGGCTCCGTGCCAAGTTCAGGGTGCTTGAGCCCCTGCACCCCCGGCGAGTCGGATGTCCCAGACGCTTGCTAAGCATTTAGGCTCGAAGATGCACTTTTGAGCAACCTCAGAAATTTCTGTTCATGTGCCTACTCGTGCTAGTTCCCCCAAAGCACGTAAACCCTCAGCCCAACCTCAGCATCTACGAGCCTGAGTTGCAAAGTGGCTTGGGGCCTATGGTTCACCAAAAGCACCACTGCCCAAGTCTCCATGCAAGGCCATAACGTTTTTAGCGTTGAACCTTAGCAGGTAGCAACAAGGGGTTTCGTTGCGAAAAAGTCAGCCATGGCGCCGGCGCGACGGGCTGTACCCACAACACCGGTGCGCCTGGGTTGAGGGATTTTGGCTCATGGGGTGCACGGTCCTGGGGTTCTACACTGCAAGCAAAAATCCCAAAGCCCCAAAACCTTGCTTAGACCCGCAAAGTACACACAAGAATGGCGTTGATACCCTTGGTTTGATGGATGCCATTGCTGCTCTAGAAGTCTATAAACTGTTCCATCCACCTAAATCTTAAACCCTCAACCCTAAACAGATGCTCAAGTGTGGGCAAGGCTCCCAGGTTTCATCCAGCTCTTCCGATTCTGCAGGAAATGCGAAGCCGCACCCCTGATTGCGGCACGGAGGCGCACGGTAGATACACGAAGCGCCTTTGTAATTCGGCCTGTGACGAAATCCCGGATTCTGAGTTCCGGCAGGAAGTTGTGCAGGTTGAGAAAACGTCAACTGAGCAGCGGGCGCGCAAGGCTGTGCCAGTGCCTTCGGACTCCTGTTCGTACGCAGCCGAAGGTGGAGCTCGCGTGATCACAGCCCTAGACAACCCGTGCGCCCGAGACCTGGTGATTGCTCCGTAGCGTCGCCAAAGCCGTGGCCAGTGCTCAGCGCTGCCTCCGTGACCTTACTGGTACCTTGCCCCAAGCCCTAAGGATCCGTGTACCCATACAGTATATACTTGGGCCCTAAAGCTACTAAATTGGAATCCCTTTAAGGCCCAAGTATATACTATATAGGTACATGGACCCTTTGGGTTGGCGGAGAGCACAACGTCGTCATGGACGGCGGGGTCTAGTGATGGATGTCTTCACACTGGGTTCTAGCCCATAGTTTGGGAAGTTCCTATGCGCCTGCCGTGCTTTAATCCTTTTTTGTGGGTTCAAGGTTCAAGGGATGAGCCCGACATATTCCATAATAATGTAGATATTTTGAAGGTTTAAGGCTGTGTCAGAGTGAAATCGTTCGTGGCAGATACCCACTGCCTTCTATCCCGGGACCGGTCCTTTGTTACATTGATGGTCTACCCTCACAACTCAAACCCTAAACCGTAAACCCTAAACCCTAAACCCTAAACCCTAACCCCTAAACCCTAGCTTGAAGTGGAGGCTTGCTCGCAGCCTTTCGGCCCGAAGCCCTGGAACCTGCCCCAAGAACTGGAGTTAGGGTTTAGGGTTTAGGGTTTAGGGTTTAGGGTTTAGGGTTTAGGGTTTAGGGCTTAGGGTTAACCCTAAAGCCTCAAACCGCAAGCCTACCCCTAAACCTTGAACTCTAACCAAAACTACCTACCCATTCTCTGCCAAGCCTTGGATTGAAACGGCCTTGCAACCGCCGCAGGCCGAGTTGGAACGCGACATCAAGGTCAGACCCTGCTGCCGCACCCTATGAACCACAATTAGGGTTCAGGGCCGGGGATTAGGGGTTTGTAATTCCTAAAGCCCCATTACCTTAAACTCTGATTCTATGCAATTGTGCCGTTGGTGCGTTTTACGGCCTAGGCAAGTAGCGGTAGGATTTTTGTATTACACCGTCCTATAAGACGTAGTGGGAGGCCTAGCTGCGAGAGCAGAGGGAGCAGTCCTTTTTTATTTCGGCAATCTCTCACCTTTTTTTGTCCCTCGAAAACGGCTCAGGAAGCATCAGCGTTTTCCTGTTTCCCTAAGCCTAGATCCTAGCCCTGTTTAGGGGTTTCGGTCTAGGTAAGGGTTTAGGGTTTAGGGCTTGGAGCTTGGCGTTTAGGGCTCCGGTCGAAAGAGCTTGCATATGTACCCTGTGAAGGCAGCCAGAGAACAGTCTCTCCTTGGCAACTATGAGGCTGGGCCACCGAAACCCGAAACCCGAAACCTAGACCCTAAACCCTAAACCCTAGACCCTAAACCCTAAACCCTAAACCCTAAACCCTAAACCCTAAACCCTAAACCCTAAACCCTAAACCCTAAACCTAAACCCTAAACCTTAAACTGCGGTCGGGCTGGTTGCGGTATCCTAAACATCTCGGGGTGTTGGGTACATTTCGGGGCTCAATGGGTTTGGGTTTTGCGGCCGGTTTGCTGCATGTGCTTGATTTGACGGGGTGCTTGCGCCGTTTCCTGGTCGTTGATGCTCGTATTTGATGGGCTTGTTGCTTGTGAAGCTTTTTTGCTTTATCGCCCCCACATATGCTGCCTACCTGGAGGTTCATGGTACGTATTAGCCAGTTACAACTGTACTTATCACCCACTTATGAGCCCCCTTTAAGTGCCCTAACATGGCTATACAGATATATGTACAGTTGAAATTGGTAAACCCTAAACCCTAAACCCTAAACCCTAAACCCTAAACCCTAAACCCTAAACCCTAAACCCTAAACCATGGACCTCCAAGTAGACTCGCAAAGCGTGGCCAAGCTGATGCTCACGGGGCCGCATCCACTTTCCAGGGCTAGAAGCCCTCGCCCTCAGACCTCGACGCCCTGCTTCACCCAAATGGGGGTACCATAAACCAACCCTAAACCCTATAAACCCTAAACCCCAAACCCCAAACTCTATTTTCTGAAGCATCCCAAAGTGTCCATCGTGCAGTTCCTGTGCAGATGGCCATGGAGCGCTACGAGTCGGCGCTGGCTTTCTCTGCTGAGATGTTGGTGGCCTGGCTGTCGGCATTATCTAATGTTTCACGAAACCCTAAACCTTGAACCATCAACCCTAATCCCTGCACCCTAAACCCTAAACCCTAGGGTTCATTGAGTCTAGGGAGTTAACTCAGGGCTTGTAGCTGCTAAGGTTGGGTGTTGGCTGGCATGTAGGGGTAACACTTTCGGAAATCCTGCTATAACACGGTGCCCTGTGTGTAAGGTACCCCGACCTTGTAGCCCAGTGGTACCGTTTACCGGTTTTTGTGCTTCTGGGTCCCCTTATACAGTAACCGTATTTTCACTGGGCTGCGAAGCAAAGGGGCCCATACTTTGATAGAGTTCCTCATATGGCTTAGACCCTGCAGGGTTGGTTGGAGTCCATG